CTTTCCCTGCACTCCTGGTCAATTATTTGTTTAGAAACAGATGATAGCTCAGAAGTCTCAGGTCTGTCTACCACCTCTTCAACACAGAGTAATGACTGGAAAGCACATCCATTCCAAGGCTGCATTAAAGCCTTTCCCAGCTCAATCCTCTCCTCTCCAGTGCCCTCTCTCTTTTTTTTCCCCACAAGAGGAGAAACACCAGCCCAGGGAACTCAGGTGCCCCAGACAGTCCGTGTAATACTTCCATCACAGTTTACAAAACAAAAGCATTCTGCATCTCTGCACTTGATTAGGAAATGAGCCAGAAGGCCAGGATGGTCAGGGTTTTCCTACACTAGCATAAGATACACGCTAAGCTTTTCCACCAGTCAGCCACACTGATTAACAGAAAAAGGGAAGGAAGAGAAAAAATCTCTGGTGCCTTCCCTCACCCAAACACATTGCCTTCTGCTGAGCAGGGCACTGTGAGCTGTAGCCGTGCCCAGAGTGGGCATCCTTGAACACCTGCACTCCTTGGTCCTTCTTTCCAGTGGAGAGAGCTTCACCTGGTGGCAGCCACATACAAATACAGCTTCCAGATAGGAAGAAACCCCACCTTCCTTCCGCTTTTCACCACTCTAGGCAGAATGAACAAATACGCTCCAACGGAAAAAAATTCTATTCTGCCATCCCTTCTGCAAGTAATCTAGCAAAGGAAGTTTATAGATATAAGCACATATTAACATAGTGTTAAGTCAGTTTTAAGTGAATATAACCCAAAGAATTAAAGTGATTTACCACATTATTAACTCCAGAGGCATCTCCTCAGTGATGTCCACACTGCATGTGAGCAGATCAATGCTCTCAACCAACTCCCTTAAAGAGCAGGAAGGATGAAAGGGCCTCTTTAAAAGCATGAGGTCCTTCCCCACAGCTGAAAGCTATCCTCTCCAAGGGGGGGTGGAAATTGAGCAGAGCTAATTACAAACCCGCACTCAACTGAGCTCTCTTCAGGCCACTTGAATTACTCGGGGTTACTGGATGTTAGAAATAAACATGCTTACAGTTTAATTTCCAAATGTGTATTTTTAGGGTGTAAAATGCAGCTGGCCAGCCAGCTCCTGCCTTTAGCCTCAGCCCCGCAGAGGGTATGGTGCATCGCTTTTGTGGACCAGCACCAGGCAAGTAGGAAGAGTTCTCCACTGGAGCGTAGCCACTTTCTTGGCAGGAGCTAAGGGGTTATCCTCGTGTGAAATCCTGAGCCTTTACGGTACAGTAAATAACACTCTCAGGCTCACCCAAAATGCTTGACTAGACAAAGCAAGCTGTAAGGAGCTTTCATTAAAAAAATTATCTCAATCTTTTTACTGAGAAATGGTGGCTGGCCACTTGGTCTTGTGCCCCCCTGTAAGCGTGAGGCTCAGCTCTGCTGGGCCAGGAGCGGGTGATAAACTGGCCTTTGCAGTTTAGCTTTAAAATCCCCTTTGAAGAAATCAATCCCCTGTCAGGAGGCAAGAGCTGGGAGAGCAAACACGCGTCTCTCTACGTGGACTAGTGTGAGGACACGGAGGGCAGGGTGGCTTTCAGATGGCTCCTGAGGTGTCCTCCAGGAGGGTCGTGGCTTTCGAAGTCCCATTTGGTTTAAGTCATCATTCAGCCTTGTAACTATGACCTCTGATTTCTATTCAGACATTACAAGTTTCAGATGCAAAGGTTTGGGTAAACGAATGTTATCATGGAGGCTTAAGAAACATTTTTTGCTGAAACATTTTCAAAAATCTAAAAAATACATTATTCATCTTCGTAGTTACTTCCAGTATATCTATCTCAAAACCAGTGGCTAGCTTTTACACCAGTTTGGAGGCACTTATTATAATATTAGAATAATAAATCCTAAGACAGCCTGAAGAAGCTTCTGAGGAGAAGAGAGCTGGCTTATAAATTTAAAATAAAGATTGGTCCTTTAATCAAATCTGAGACTAAGAGCTTAATATTGAAACAAACTTATCCAGAGTCTGAAGCCTCTTCTAGCTTCCTACTGAGAATTTTTTCTGCCGTAGTAGCTAATTTCTTGCTTCTCTGCCCACCCATTTCCAATATGACACTTTAACTAAATAGTTTCTTTGATTTACAAAAACTTGAGAGTCAATTTCTCAGAAATAACAAATGACAAGTTTCTGGTTTCACAGGACTTTTAAATCCAGGACACTGTGGGATTTATTTCAGACTCTCTTTAAGGACTATGTAAACTTTGGGAATGTGGATTTTTGCATTCTTCTCATGACAACCATATTTGCACAGCTGAAAATTAAAAATACATATAGGGTGGTGGAACAGGAGGCTTATATCAATAACAGGTGAAGCATTAGTAAGAATGAACAGACATTCATAGGACAGTCAGGGATTCTTTAACTTTTCTGGCTCTAAACCCATGTCAATATTAAGGACAAAAATTGTGATTTTTTAAAATGCAACATCAGACCATGTAAAGTAACTATGGAAGAGATCTTTAGAAATCGTCTATAGTTCATTCCCATGTCAGATCAACTCTGCTTATACACGGAGCTGGTGACAATGGTTTAATGTGGTCTCACCTTCCGATGGTGCCAATTTTACACCTGTCTGGACGTCTTGTTCTTCTGCTAAAGCATGTTTTCCATCTGAAAAACATTTCTTATGTGAAATGAAAATCTCCCTGGCTCCAATGTGGGTCTCGTGCTTCTTGTCCTGTTCACCACAGACACCGAGAACAGATTATTCCCTTTCTCTTTGTTTTAAATTCTTTTTATTTTCTTAATTCTTCCCAAGCATAGGATAAAGAGCACCACTTACTTCAGTCTTCCCTCCTGAATTGTGCGTTTTTGAGCCTTCTGATTCTCTTGCTCCTCGATTTCTTTCGCTGGGCCCCATCCCCCTTGAAGTTTTGTTTCCCCAGACAGACACATCTGGAGCCTTCCAAGAGGCAAGCAGAGTGGAAGAATTATGTTTTACACAGTAAAGTTTACTACTCTGATCTGTCAGGTATCTCCAGTAAAATAAAGCTGTAGGTATTTGATGTATTTGGTTAGTGAGAGTGGTAGGACTTTATTTCTTTATTTTTATAAATACTTTTATTTCCCAATTCTGTGTTGAACCTGAAACTGGGGAAGCAAGGTAAAACTTTCATCCAGGGAAGACAGCGAACTTCAGGCAGCACGCTGGAAGAGCAACGAGGAGAAGTTGCATTCTTGCCTCTTGTCCTGAGAAGAGAACGACTGAAGAAATCAGTCTCTTGCACTAACAGCGTATTTTAGTGTTTTAAAAACCTTTTGATGAAAGATGCTGTGAACAATTTTTACTTACTCTTTTCAGGACAAAAACCTAAAAAGAAGTGTCACAAGCCCAGCCTCTGTGTCTGACTGGCTGACTTCTAATCCCACGGCTGCAGGAGCGGACGCTGTTGAGAAGGGGAACGTCCAGCTGGAAAATCACTGTCCCAGACAACGCACGTGGAGCGCCCGCACTTTCCACGACTTCCTGGCTCCGATACCACAGCTACAGAAAAAATGGTGCAGCTGGACCACCAACAGTCCCTTCACGAAGCTGGTTGACAACAGTGTAAGTCTTGCAAGGAGGGGAGGACATGGTGGTCGGGGTCTGTGCCCCCGTGCCCCCAGCTGCTCGCTGATGGGTCACATTTTCCCCTGGCCCTACTGCTTTGCCTTCCCACCCTGCAAATGGGATGTACACATTTCAGTCTGGCGTATGGGAAACTCTTTTGTCTAACTATATTGTAATTCATTCAGGCTTTCCTGAAGTACTAAGAAACTCTATTTCCCAGCAGTTAGCACCTGATTTAAGAAATGATCCCCAGCCCAGAAAAACATTTTAAAATTGCCTTCAGACTGGATTACCTCACTGAACATTCTGACACGTACCTTTTTTTCCTGGTTATGCCTTAAATTTATTTTAACTGATCTATTACTATTGCATTATGAGGAATCTGTAGGTGTGGGAGGGATATCTAGGTCTCAGTGACTGTAATCATCAAACCAACAGCTTGTTACAAAGCTAATAGAGGATGTTTCTTCTTTTTTAAGGTAATAACATCAGTTTTTGCTAAAGAATGCATCTCACTTCTAAAGTAACAAGGAATTTTAGCTTTTACTTCCCTGGGATCAAAGTTTCTCAAGACAGCTGCTTTTCACGGCGTGTCTACTAATTTATTATTATTTTGTACAGGGTTTTCCTGCAGCTGCAAGATCCCAAGGTGTCCCCACCAGAAAGGTAATCTCAGCCACGGAGATAGAGGGAGCATCAGAGACCGTTTACTCTGACTCATCTGCCAGTAACGCCTCCTACCCCCTCACGCTGTCTGCACAAAGGCAGCGGAAGCTAAGCTCCTGCAATTTGAAGAAATCCAGGTTTGGGAACCCTTATTTTGGATTTTTAGCCAGTTCCCCTGATGGCAAACACGTGAGGTCCTTGGATCCCTCAGGACATCTAGGGGCAGCATCTCCAGTTAACAGCCAAAGCCCCAAAAATCCTCTAGAGAGCTCCAACCCACTGAAAATCAACTTGGTCAATGGTTCAAGAACAAAGGAGCTTATGGTAGAAACAGATAAAAACAAACCGGTTTTTGTTATTTCTGAAGAGGGAGATGATCAGCAGCCTCTGGTCCTAGCAGAGCATCTTAGTCAATGCGGAGATCATCTGCCAGAGCAAAATGCTGTGTATGCTCCAGCTGTACCAGATAAACAGCCGGTGGGTCTGACTGCTGAGGGGAACAGTTCTGCCAGCTTCACGTCAAATCTTCCCCTTTGGGCAAAATCTCCTGGTTTATACAAAGGTCACGTGAAGGTCCCTAGCTCTTCCAGGGACCAGCAGAGCTCGTCAGTTGTAGATACTAATACTACTGAGGGCTCAGAGAACTGTGATACCTTAGCTGCTCCTACGCTATGCCAAGCTTCAGTCCAGTGATGCCCTCAGAATGATTGAAACATCTGTTCACAAAAACAGAGGCAACAGAGACGTGGTCAGAGTGGAAGCTGTGCCAGGTAGTTGAGCGTGGCAGTCGCAGATGGATGCAACTTTCTTAAGAGTGGTCTTTGCTTCCCACCTGGTGGGGTTGGGATTATGACTGTACATACCATAGTGCAGCACAAGTGCCATCTTCCCTTACACTCACTAACCTCATCTCTGTTTTCTGCATGAAATTTTGATGTGGTTTATACAAGAAAGCATCCTCTGAAAAGGTACTTGGGACTGCAGAAAACCTTTTCTGGAATGAGAAATGAAAGTCATCTGAGATGGTTACATTGCGGTTTATGTAGGAAATGTAAATCAGTCCTCTGTCACTGCGGTATCACTGGAGTCTTTCTGTTGGGAGCTATGAGTTAAGCTCTGTTTATAGCTATGCCTGTACAATCCAAGCCTTGCCAAGCCAAGGGTAAGAATTCAATTGTGCATGTTTGCGTACAGTTTTGTAAACTTAATTTTAAGCATTTCATAACTTCTGCACTCTAGCACAGTTTACCAAGCATTAGCATCTCTAATATTAAAGACCATGATTATCTCATATCCTAACTCTTTAGAGAAGTGTACAGACAAGCTGAGCAACCCAATACTGGATGCTAGTTCTATAAAAGTCTGATGCAGCTTTATCTTTGTTAGATCTACGTAGGCTTCAAACACCTTAGTCTGCTACATTTTTAAGTGACTCCTCATGGCAACGGGAGCATGTGTACAAAAACACTGAAATACTAGGAATAGTCTTCAGCATCCAACACTTGGATATCTGCAGCTGCTCTGGTCTTATATCCACCAGCTATTTATTGCTGGTAACGCACATTGACTAGAGAACTATTTCCCTTCCTTTAGCAGGCAAGACTTAAAAGACAAAATCAAGTGGGGCAAACTTTGAGTGCTCACTTTCTTTTGAAATGAACTCCTAAGTGTCTGTGCCTCCCTGATCACAATCCAGGGCATTCGATGGAACGCTGAACCAAAGGGATGCCTGCTAGTCCTGTTGCCTTTAATAACCCCATCAGTATTTTAATGGCCTCCTGGTGATATTTTCCTTTCTTTGCGAGAGACTCCTGCATCTTCAGCCCACAACTTCAAATTATTTTGCTTTCTTAAATGAAAGAAATTCCCTGTGAAGCTGTATTTTGCAGCTGACACAGCACATTGTTTTAAAGCAATAGTATGTCATAAAACAGGTGTCAGAAAGAAATCTTCTGTACAAGTCTTCCCCTGTATTAGCTACAGTGTGTATCAAGTTATCTTAATCCTTCTGTGTGAAGGCATTTAAGTCTGATTCCTGAAATATTTAACTGAATTATTTATGATTTCACCTGCTACTATAGCTTCTATTTGCCACCTATTAATGTCTGAGACATGCAACACAAGATTGTAGGTTTTGCCTTATGGTTTGTGTGTGCGTGTGTTACGTGTCCGTGTAGACATGGAAGCCTTGCACCTGGTAGCAGTGGAAGCAAAAACATACATGCCCTTTAGCAGTTGACTCAAGCACGAACAGGAAACACGTCTCCACATTTGTTATTACCAAACTGTGTTAAGTAGTTTTTGAAGCACAAGAGTCTGGTTCCAATTTTGTTGTTGTTGGGTGGGGTTTTTTTCTGTTTTTGGGGAGTTTTTTGGGTTTTTTTTAAATTAATGCTACATGATTCAAAGGGAAGAGTTAATATATTTATGATTTAAGAAAATATTTAGAAGTCTTCAGTATTCTAATAATAACTTCCACTGCATTGAATTCATATACATTGTAATTCAGAGTCAACGTTCTGTTACTTATTATATTTCTAAAGATTGAAGTACTAAAAAATCTACTTTTGAAAAGTACTTGTGTTCAGTTATTGACAATAGCTAAATTTGAAGGGCTGGAAAAAGTGGCTTTTTCAATAAAAGCGTGTTTAACTATTCATGTCTACAACGTAATGACACTTTGTTTCTTTTGCTGGAAGACTAAGTTGTATGGGCATTGCCTCAGAGCACCAGTACATTGCGTGGTACATCCCAGTACAGCAACCTCATTATCGCTTGCTGCAATGGCAAGAGCACAAAAGCTGCTGCATCACTTAGGAAACACCCGAGGAGCAGATCCCGTTTGATTTCACCTTGGTAAGCTTGCGAGATGATGAGGTGGTTGTTTACACTGACTTCCTCTACTACCTATCTGTGTCACCAAAGAATGGATTTTTCTAAACCCGCGCAGACCGCTGCCAGAGGCTGGTTTCTGTGGGAGCTGGGATCTCCTTTCATATACTACTTAACACCTTGTGCCTCTCCCATCAGTGCCTCTCTAGCAGCATATAGCCAATTACGCAAGACACTAAATCAGATATCACACGTCAGCCTGGACTACATACACAGATATGTTGGGTGAGGGTCTCCCCTTGAAGATTGTGCAATATTGAACGACGGTGCTTACCCTCAGAGCAGATGTGGCTGATGTACCAAATCATTCCAAGGGGACGGGTGTCTTCTTCCACCACAAGATACTGGAGCCTAACGCCTAACTGGTGCCTGCTGCAGGTACACAGCGACCGTGCCCTCGCTCTTGAGCTTCAGTTCCCGACTTGCCTGTTGAAGTTCCTATTTTTTTAGGCAGATCACTAAAATTCATTGCTAAAGACGTACTTGTGTTTTGTTTTGTACCTTCAAAGAATATAAAAAAGATTTTCCTCCTCTTACAGCTAAAGGAACTGTTTTGATATTCTCCTCTTTTTTTCCCCCAGGAACAGAAAGAGCTTCCACCCAAACTCTTCAAAAAAGTAATAGTGCAAATTTAAGAAATTCTGAAAGCTCCGGGTGGAATAAAGTGCTCTAATACTCTCAGCTGTAAATATTGACTAGGATTAGTTTTTAAATATTATTACTTATGGCATTTATTTTGTTCCTGACAGCTATATTACTTCTGAGAGCTATGCTGCCCCTTTTTAATGACAGCAAACCTCAACTGGGCTGGGGATTCAGTTTTACCTTTGTGGTAATGCAGCCAGTTTACTGTGCTGTTTTGCATACTGTAACTAAGCAGCAAGTGGGATAAGCAAGCTAAATGCCTGCTGAAGAGGAGGAAAATAATTTCAATCACAATTGCATGGGAAAAAATGTTATGAAGCTAACAAACAGGAGCATTCTTTTCAGTAAAACTGGATTTGAATAATGTTCACCTTTTTTTTAATTAATTATTCTGGAATATGCTAGGCAATTCCTCTAACCAATGTCTTAGGTAGATTGAATAGGACAAAAATATGTGGGCATTCCCTATTTTTTCATTGTGGAAACAGAGGTTCAAAATAAAAGCTTGAAGCTATGCAAGATGACAAGAATCCTGTGTGCTAGGTTTCTTACTGTCAGGTAGTTAAAATGGTTGAGAATGGAGGGTCAATGGGAAAACAATCCAAAAGGTTTAACATGCAGCCAACGCATCCTAACTTTGGGGATTCAGAGTAGCAAGAAAAATCCATTTATAAGTTCTGAGCAGAAATGTGAACCGAGGTTTCCTTTCAGAAATGTTTTTTTTAAGAGCAGCTGGTTACAAAGTATCCTGCTCATAACTGTTTGGGTGTGGGTTTTTTCCATGAGAAAGGCACATGAGCCCTAACAAACCACATTTGACTCAAATAGCCCAGTCAGCTACTAGATTTTATTCCAAACAATTAATTTGGATTGCAAGGAAAAAAGATAAGTTCTAAGGCAACACTTACCTAACGAAAGCAAGCAACCAAAACTCAGCAGCACTGAAAAGAATACCCAACAGAGACCAAATATAGCTACAGCATATATTCATGGTCTGTCTAGAAATGTCTTTGATGTTAAACCTCATATGGCACACTTAGCATTTTTTATAATTCATTTCCTATGGAAACTAATGAGCTTAAGGGTGAAATTACCTCATTGAAAGTCAAAATGGTGAAGTGTGAAGACGAGAAGGATGACCTGAAAAGCAGATTTAGAAGCAATCTTTGCATATTAAGCATTGCTGTGGGAAATAGTATAATTAGTTTTCTTCAGAAGTTATTCCTTGGAATTGTGTAAGTGGTATTTCAGCTCCCAAACATCATGCAGAAAGAATGTTAGATAAAATAGGTGGAAAAAATGCAAAATCCCCACACATTCTTTTTAAAACCAAGAGATCCTTTTCCTAACTTCCAGTAACGCAGTGACTCTTGGTTTATTTTTAGAGGGCAGACTGTACAAAATAAGGCCCCCTTCCAGCAGAAATTTCTAAGAGGCCATAAGAAACTAGATTTTCAGAGCATAATTTAGAATTGAGCGTTCTCTCCTCAAATGCCTAACTCCTTTACTTGAATCAACTTATTTCCCTGAGCTCTTGCTGTAGGCTAAGCCATCTGCACTACAGTTCTGCTGAAGGCTAGAAATTGATACAAAAATGGATGTATTTTGTTTGCAGAATGTCTGAGCTAATGATTGATCCTTCAGTGGCAAATACCATAATTTTTCTATTGAATTCAAGGAAAACAGTATCAGAGCTTAAACACAAATTATCCTACACAATTGCTGGTTCAAATACTCGAGACACACCGAGGGCTCTCAGATTAACACTGTTGAGATTAGAATGTTGTCAGCTACTCCACCTGCAAAAGGCCATACATTGTATTCTCTTTCTCACAATCATGCCACCATCTTTCTTTATTCTTTTTGGAGGAAGTGCTTGGAAGAGCTTATGCTGTGCCAGAACTGATCACTTGATAGGGCATAAACTGAAAATCAGCAGCTTCCTCAAACTAAATTAGTTATGAGTCATTTGTTGACATAATGGAGTATAACACACTTAAATCCACCAATATAAGCACAGGGCAAGCAAAAACCATTGCAAGTTTTAAGGTCTATCAGCTTGTCTTTATGGTGTACAGAACAACATAGCATTTTCACTTTTACATTACTTAATCATGAGTTTGAATGTCTCTTAAATTTAGTCTGAAGAAGAAATT